TTGGATCCCTGCTATCCATTTCAGAGACCTGGATTGAGTTCCAGCCTTCTAACTAGTTTAGCTCCAACTGTTGCAGGCATTTAGGGATGAGCTGAATAGAAGATTAATCTCTCTCTTTCCCTCTCTCTCTCTCCCCCTTTCATATAAAAGTGAAAATAAGTCATCAAATTGCTTTTAAATAAAAAATAACCTTCAAGTTTGAAGCCAGCATTGTGGCATAGGTGGGTAAAGCTGCTGCCTGCAACTTAGGCATCCTATATGGGTACCTGTTGTATCCCAGCTGCTCTGCTTCTGATATAGCTCCCTGCTTATGGCCTCGGAAAAGCAGCAGAGGATGGTCCAAGTGCTTGGGCCCCTGCCACCCATGTGGGAGATCCTGATGAAGCTTCTGGCTTCTGGCTTTGGCCAGGCCCAGCCCTAGCCATTGCAGCCAACTGGGGAGTAAAGCCAGCAGATGAAATATTCCTTCATCCTCATTCTCTCTCTCTCTCCCTCTCTCCCTCTCTGCCCTCCCACCCTCTATCCCTCCCTCTCTCTCTCCCTCCCTGCTTCTGTATCTGTCTCTCCCACTCTCTCTCTGTAATTCTGACTTTCAAATAAATGGATAAATATGTAAAAAATATTCAGGCTTACACTTTTAACCATTTAATTAAGTAAAAATAATCTACTCCTTAGAGTTATGGTAAGTAATAATTAAAGCAAATAAACAATGTTCTAAATATATATACGGGTATTAACTCACTTAATATTTACTATAAAGTTCTAAACTTGGCTCTTACTATTCTTTAACACACTAAATTCATTTCTCAAAATAAGTAATAGGGAATGACTAAAAACCTGAAAAGAGAAACTTTTTCTACAATGATAGTTTGAATCCAGTGTATACAGCTTCACAATACACAACTCTATGAAGTGTTTTTAAATTTTATTTTAGTTTTTTTTTTTTTTTTTGCTTTGCTTTTGATTGATTACTAGAATGACAGTGTCCCTGGAATAAAATTGTGATCTCATGCTTCAGATACTCATGGTGAAAAATTAAAGTGGCCTTGAAATAGAAGAACCCATAATGGATGACAGGCATCCACACATGGGATGTGACTATGCAGACAGGCTGGCTCTGATAAATGTGTCCCTATTTAGAAATCTCAATTTAAAGTTTTGCAAGAATATTCACAATGGGCTACATGAATATCTGGGTATTCCAAAACACACATTGTACCTCATTAATGATCTATCTAGAGAATAAATTATCTTAGTTAAGTGAAGACTTTGTCACAATGAAAATTTGCCAAAAGGGAAAGATATACACTTTTCATCAGCTTGGAAGGATCAGAAAAGCACAATTAGGGGTAATTGAAAAAATAATAATATGAGGGAATGAGTGAAAGAACAGTTCTTATAAAGTTACAATAGCTTTGATAATTACCATTATGAATATTCAATTCAAACCAGATAAATAAAAAAATTGTATAATTAAATTCACTTTGCCCTTCAAGATTTCTTCTATCTCCCTATAAATCTTTGTGTTTTTTTATAGTTTTACGTCTCATAATCACTTTCTTTTTTGTCATCAAGGTTCTTTATGTTTGTTTCAGAAAGGCAGTCATTTTGATTTTAGAGGAAAATATTTCATACCAGGCCCTTTCTCTAATCATTTAAAATAGTTTGAAAGATCATCAATAACAACTGTAATACTTGTATAAAGTGTAGGCCTGAGCCATCTTTGAGTAATGAGAGAGTAAATGTTTTTGCTAAACAGCTTAAGCGCTTAGGGATCAATTCTTCATTCAGTAATATCAACCAGTAAGGTAGATCTCCCATATCCTTAAAATATATTCAACAAATGCACTTTTTCTTCCAATGCAGCAAGATAAAAGTTAATCATAGAAGAAACTATTAATCCAGTAGTATGAGTTGTATTTAGACAGATGTCTTGGAGTCGTGGAGACAATAAAGAAGAACTGTTTTCCAAACTAAGTTCTGAAATACTTGCAGTAAGACAAAAGGATCAGCAGAAAGATTCTTTGGCGAAGAAGATTCTATTAAAAAAATCTGGCATAAACCACAGGTACATGGAATTCTTCTTATTGGTGAGGCAGACATTGTTGGTCCGCTTGAGGCTGGGAGGGTTCCATACCTGCGTAAGTGGGGCCTGTATCTGCAGAAGCAGAGCCAAGACTGACTCTTCACAGATAGTTGGCTCTTACGGAAAAAGCAAAGGACGGATCTCAGTGCCAGGCCTGGTGCTTCCTGTCAAGCTCAGTTGCCAGTGATGTCAGAGTGGCCAGAATGGCTAGGAGTGTTAGGCTATGTGATGGTCTCCTATCTGAAAAGTACAAGTACACTCTGGAATAATTTTGGAAACGTTTTCTCACCACAGGGTGCTTCAAGGGTCATCAGCTCAAAGAGTTCCTCTGGCCCTGGTCCCCACCTCCTATGTCATGCAAAAGTTAGTTACAGTCTCTTAGTGAAACTCCAGTCTCCAGTCTCCATATTCCTGTTTCTGATTAGAATTCATCATTTGAATCTATATTGTGTAGCTAATTCAATTCCTTTTGCTCACCTCTGGTCTAGTATCATGTTCTGAAATACTAAATATTTGGAGTTATATTAAATAATGTATTTGCATCATTAACTACTTTGCATAAGGGGATGATTTTAACTTAGTCAAAGACCTGTTTCAGACTTTATGAACTATGACAGGTAAATCGTTGTACCAAGTGCTTGGATACCTGCTACCCACATGGGAGATCTGGAAGAAGTTCCTGGTTCCTGGCTTTGAGCCGATCAAAAATGTACCAATAGATGGAAGATTCTCTCTCTCTCTCTCTCTCTCTTTATCTTTCTCTGTGACTATGCCTTTCAAATAAAATAAAACAAATCTTTTAAAAAAATTAAAAAATCTCTTTCAGTGTGTGAGCCATCTCTAGGCTATTTTATAACCCTAGTATATTATAATTCCATTATTCATTTCACTTTGGTACGCCTAATCTATAACTAAGTTTGATTCGTTTACATTTTTCTTTCTGCAGAAATAACCATATATGTATCCCATGCTTTATTTGTCTAAAATTATGGCTGTGGGAAATGTACTCAGGCCTTTATCTCAAAGGCTGCTTGAACATTCCCAATTATATCTGAAATATGGTTTTGATTTCATAAAACTCTACATGTATTGTATCACAACATATTTTTCTCTTAATTTTATACACATATATAACTGACAAGATTGTTAATCCATGTGTTTTTCATTTATTTGTCCTTAGTTCACATTATTGTATAATTTGCAACAATGCAGAAAGCTCTTTCAATATGTAAAATCTGCTTTACAAATTTCGATTTTAGAAACAGTAAAGATTCTGCAAGAATAATTAATTCAAGTCCCTCTTCCAGACTCTATATCCCAACAAAGGGATCAAATACAATGGAAAAGAAAACTTACTAACATTCGTTTTCTTTTTTTTCTTGACATACAGGATCTGCAGAGCTAGTCCAAGAGGCATTCTTTCTCATAGCATTTTACCTGTGAGGTATCTCATTGCACCACATGGCAGGAGTTTGTATCCAACAGAAGAAATTTTTTTGTATCTTAATACTACAGCAGAACTGCCAACAGGAAATAACTTGTTCTAAAGAAATATTTGTAAGCCATAGTTATTGTGAAATAAACCAAAAAACTAGCTCTGGAGATCAAAATAAATCAAGAGGAAGATGTTTAGTTAAAGTGCTGTTTATAAACAGGGTTCAGTGTTGTGAAAATTTAATATAGTATTGCTAAATTAGTAATTAATTGGATAGCCTGCAGGAACATGACCATGGACACCACAGGCAGAGCCAGTAACAAACCTTTGTAATCAAAATTGCATGCAGTGCTATTGGAATAGAATGGAAAAATGTAACATTGATAGACATTTTTAGTAAAATGTCAATGATATATTGGGTAACAGTAATACATGTGCTTTTGTAAATTAACTCCCATATTTTATTGCACTATTTGAGTTTTCTCCTTTACAAGGGAAAATCACTCTTTTAACAAAGTGATTCTTCCCTCAATTCATTCCAGTAAACATTTACTGACTCGCAGGCATATACTCAGTATTTGCTGATGTCTAGTATTATTCACTATTAGCAAACATTGTGCATCCCCAGGGGCACAAAGAATACAAAGGCACAGCATCTGTCCTTGAGGAATATACAGTGTCTGGAGTAAGGGGGCTGGAATACAGTATAGACTCAAGTTTGCTATATCCTAAAAATATCAAATATGAGCAACCTTGGCATCTACTTCTGATCAAATCTTTAAGGGAAATTTTATGGGAAATGAAATCCTGGAAGGTCATGTGTTTCTTCCCCTAAACTGTCCATGGCTTGTTACAGATCTAGCTTCCAATAATTATATCATGCGCTATGATACTTTTTATTGGGTTATGATTTCCTAAAATTTAATAGCTAGATATTGATATCTGAGTTATGATTTCCTTATCTTAAAATGATCTTGGTTTCTGCAACTTTGGCCCTTACTAGACTTTCTTCAGTTAAAGTATCAGAACTATCAAGATAACCTCTACTGGTGCCTTCATTAGCCTGATCACAAACTGTAGGATATACAAAATCAGCTGAGAAGCCTGAACATCAGGTGCTTTAGAACTACCCCTAAAACATTGCTTTTATAGCCCTTGAAAATTTTAATAAATATTTCAGGAGTTTCATATGTATGTTGTCCAAAACTCACACCATGAGAAACCTTGTTCTGTGGAATATTCTCTCCCAGTGTGACATGTCTTTCGCCTGGAAAGACCTTAGAGAAGAAAGCTCTCATTGGTGTATCCTAATTGTAATAAAACAGATTCAAAAGTCAAATTTGACTTGGCTGAATGCTGCCTTAACATTGAACTCTTCTTCAGAGACATGAGAATTAACTTTGATCCAGTTTATTATTCCTTGGAATGGGATTAAGAACTAAATTTTTAAATTAAGTCTCCCTTTGTCTTATTTGGCAGCTTTTTCTTTTAACAGTGTGGCAGGACCTCACACGCATAAATGAGGCTCTGCTATTCACCGAATAGAAGGAACAGAAATAATGTAAGTAATTTTCTGTAAAAATATCATTGTGGAAAGGAAGATGGAAAGGCTCATTTTGGAGGTTGGAATAGCAAGCACATTGAACGAAATATTTTTCCTGTATAGTTTAGAAATTAAGCCAGTGGGAGGAAAGGCTAGAATCCATGGGTTAAAATATAACATTGTGGAAACTCAAGGGGAAGAGAAAGCCTTGGGCATTTTCCACAATGTTAAGTAAACAATAATGACATTGGAGCCAGAGAGGCAAGCATCAATAAGAGCGTAAAAGTGAAATTGTGAATTTGACCATGGATTTCTCCAAAGCTAAAGTCACTGCTGCCTGGGGGGTCCTAGACCCTATGAGTTACTCCATTGGCCCTAACAGGGATGTGAAGTCTCAGATGCAGAGCCCTACCCTTAACACAGTTCCTGCCTACTCAGTCATTGCAGATGGATCAGACACATCTTACTTAAATAATGATTAATTTTATCCTACATATGACTGACCAAGTATTTTACTTAAATTAAACTTAGAGGCCAGTGCTGTGGTACATCAGGTTAAACTGCTGTTTGCATTGCCAGCAACCTGTATGAGCACTGATTCAAGACCTGGCTGCTCCACTTTCAATCCAGCTTCTTGCTAATGCACCTAGGATATCAGCAGATGATGGAAGTACTTAGAACTCCAACACCCACTTGGGAGACCCAGATAGTGTTCCAGGTTCCTGACCACTGTGGTCGTTTGGAGAGTGAGCCATCAGATAGATTTTTCTCTGTCTCTTCCTGTTTCTCTGTAACTCGGCCTTTCAAATAAATAAGTCAATCTTTAAACTTGAATAAACACTTTTAAGAGTTTGCAAGTTACACCATGTGCTTACATTCTTTTAAGCTCTTTACAAATGAGAACTCATTTACTACTCCTTCCAATCCTCTGAGATGGGTATAATTATTTCTCTCATTTTACAGATGAGACGAAGAAACGAAGGAAGAAAAAGAATAGATAACTCACCCAAGGTCATTCAGTTAGCATGTTTTAGAGGGGTGGGTGAAGTTGTGTTTGAATTTTAGTTTTAGGTAACTAAATGAACTCATTTATTTCTTTACCAAGTTGGACAGACCCTGAAAAGTCTGATGCAAACTGTGTGAGTTCCCTACTCTTCCTACCTCTCTCTCTCTTTCTTTTCTTGTTATCTCCCAAATTCACAACTTAACTATTCCTGCTACCCATGTGGAAGTTCCAGATCAATTTCCAGGCTCCTGGCTTCAGCCTAGTCAAACCCTGGCCCTTGCATTTATTTGGGGAGTGAAGCAGTGGTTGAAAGATCTCTCTCTCTCCCTCTCTCTCCTTGTCATTCTCCCATTCAAACAAATACTTTTAGAAAGTCAGGGAGACAAATTACATATTTGAATTAGATTTATTATTTCTAGAATATTTTAGCAACAAGTAAGAAAAGCAAACTCAAACAATCTGAAATAACAAAGACCTCAAAGGAGAAAATTCAATGTCCTCTCTGCCATCACTCCATCCACAACACCAGCTGATTTTTCTCATGTGTGACTATAGAATGTCTGACTTTTTGGGGTCCCATGACGTCACAGCCTCCAACAAATACTTTTTCTGCCAGATTGGGTCACATCTTCATTGCCATGCTAATATGCTAATCACTGATAAAAAGCAATGGGGAAAGCTTGTAACTAAACAGGCACTCTTTGAAAACTAAGGTCAGTTCCCCAATTTGTCCAAGAATATTTTCATATTCAAAAAAGAGAATGATCTGCATCTTCTGGCGACAACTTCCACGTGCACATGTACAATGGACCTACTGTGCTTTGGAAATCAGTCAGTGCTGACCACTCAGCATCCACTCAGAGAGGCACAGCTGTCACGCTCTGAGGAGGAGTAGGGGACACAGGAAGCCAGGTTCAGCAGGCATCTCGGCTGTTTCCCTTTTCTCATCTTGTTTTCAAGTTTCAGTAAATTAGTGGTCGAGCAAATGCACCTGCCACACAATTTCAAGAATCAAAGATTTGTCGACAAGCCCACATTGTGATATCCTTACTTCCGCCTTGAGAGGCTGTGCCCCTGCACACGCAGAATGAGCTGGGTGTGATGCGATCCAGGCACACGCTGCCGGGGTGCAGTGCTCTGAGGAGGGAAATGGTCCTCTTTACTGATAGACCCGAGTGTCACTGTGGAGTCATTCACCACCTGCTGCAGATAATTTGCTCCCTTTCTAGTGACCAAAAGACATTCCTGGAATCAGTGTACAGCAAAAACAAAACCCAAGCAGAATGAGTAAGCCCAGGAGGAATTCAGCCACAAGAACAACTCACAGAGCAGCCTGAAATTGTCAGCCTCACACGTTTCTCTGCCCCTTTCTCTCTAGAGAATTACACCAGGGGAAACATTCATTCTTAGGTGAAAAAGCATTTTTCTCACCTCCGTGAGAAAATCTGCCACCTCTTACCTTCCTTCAATTTTCTGTCTACCTGAGTTCAAATGTAGACCCACCCATTCACCCAACCCCAAATCTTGTTAATATGTTATGTTGACCCTGCCATGGTTCTTGTATTTTTATAGGTTCATTTCGACTTTTTGTTAATATTTTACTCTTATGGCCATAACTATTTTCAAGGTTGCCATTTGATTTCTCCTTACTCAGAATAGGAGTGGTAAAAAAATGGAAAATTATTATTTAATTTATTGTATTATTTATTTTATTTTATTTCACTTTATTCTTGTTTTTATGTCCAATAATCTAAGTATCAAAGAGAAAAAACAGCTTAAAAGTAATATATGACTATACAATAAATTATATTTAATTATATATGACTATATAACATCTATCTTTCACATATATATTGTGTGATATCTGGGGTACATTGCAAAGTTTGTGAAAATAGGATTGAAAGATAAAATTCATTTGGGAACAAAATTTGAAATCCATACATAATTTTTTTAAAGATTTATTTATTTATTTGAAAGGCAGATTTACAGAGAGGCAGAGAGTAAGGTCTTCCATCCTCTGGTCCACTCCCCAGATGGCTGAAATAGCTGGAGCTGCGCTGATCTGAAGCCAGGAGCCAGGAGCTTCCTCCGGGTCTCCCACGCAGGTGCAGGGGCCCAAGGACTTGGAGCATGTTCTACTGCACTCCCAGGCTATAGCAGAAAGCTGAACCAGAAGTGGAGCAGCTGGGACTCGAACCAGCTCCCATTTGGGATGCCTGCACTTCACGCAGTGTTTACTCACTATGTCACAGTGCCGGCCCCATGCATAACTTTTTACATAACAACTTCCACGAACATTTTAAAGACATCTAATATATACAATTTCAATTTTTTGCATAAAATAAACATCTTTTGATCCTATTTTTACACAAATTTAAGGACTTCATATATCTCTCAATCCTTACAATGTCCACATGATTTATAGGTATTGTTTGACTATCTTTCATTTACTGATGAAGAGACCTAGGACAGAAAGCTGATGCTTCAGACATTAACCAAAAAAAAAAAAAAACCTCATGCTTCTTTCCCACACTGGGCTAGAAAGTGACAGGAAGAGGAAGCAGCCCCACAGACCCACAGAGGCTGCTGTCAGGGCCCATACTCTCAGAACTGTGCTTTACTATGGCGCCATTTAGGCTATCATAACTCTCCAGGGCTTCTCTGAAGAGCACCAGCTTTGCTCAGTTGGTGGCATGACTGTGCATATGCTTCCACCATCTGCCTTCCTCTATCCCTCCACTCTAGCTATCCAACAGTTCTCACTGAGTGCTAACTCTTGTCAGGCCTTTTGCTGGGCACTGGGTGTACAGGCTAAACTAGATGAACAGGGCTCCCACTCTGCCTCTTGAGCCTTGTATTCTCCTGGCTAACTGATGACATGACGTTGGTAATAGCCCTTCTTCAAACACTACCCCTTAGCCTTGTCTCCTCCAAGCAGAACATTCCAAATTCTTAGAACATGCCATTCTTGCCAAAGGTATGCTTAGATGAAAATAAAGTATTTTGTACCCTGAAAACATTCAAAGAATATGAATAATCCATGGGAAAAATTAAATCTATGATTACATAAAACACAAGACCTTCATCCCAAGAATGTCCACTGTTTTGGGTAGATATTTCTAAAGATGTTCTGTGCACACTTTGCCTGGTTTAGAAATCCACCCCCCCACACACACACACATACACACACACACACTCTCTCTATCATCTTGAGGTATAAGTTTTGCACATTCATACTTAAATTTTTATTTCTTTTAAAATATTTCCTTGTGCTAGGATTGTAATTATATATGTGAACATATATATATGTATTATATATACACAATAAAAATGGCAGTATCACATCAGCCTATGGTCAGTCACCCCACATTCATTCACTTGTCTTGTAGGACTATTCCACAGGAGGCTGCAAAGCATCAGTGGAAACCTGCAAATGGAAAGTGAGAGACTGTTAGGAGACTGATTACAATGTCCTAAAGAAGTTCAAGTCCTTAGGTCATCCCTCAAGCCTTTGCTGTTCTGCCCACTCTTTAACACTTTGGCCTTATTACTTGGGAAATGACCTTTTTTCTGTATATTTTTTGTTTTGTTGTTGTTGTTACTATTAAGCGTTGCCTTACTTTCTGGTACTAAGAGATGTTAAAAGCTCATCTTGTATATTTTTCCTGACCCAGTTCTGGAGCCAGTCATTTCCCTAAGGAACAATATTTATTTAATTTTATTTTCTGAAAATAGTTATTTGTTTATTTTAAGGGCAGAGTTACAGAGAGAAAAGGAGAAATAGATCTTCCATTGGCTGGTTCACTCCCCAAATGGCCACAATGCCCAGGGCTGAGCCAGGAGCCAGAAACTCCATCCAGGTCTCCCACATGCGCTTGGACCATCCTCTTCTGTTTTCCCAGCTGAATTAGTAGGGAGCTGAATTAGCTGGGAACTTGAATTGTTGCTCATATGGAATGCTGGCATGGCAGGTGGTGGCTTAACCTACTGCGTCACAACACCAGCCCTTTGA